AATCCCATGAGGCATTGCAAGATTCTCACAGCCACAGACATGACTCCCGGAGAGAGATGCATCATGGGATTTGTAGTTTCACCACAGCTGGAGGGCCGGAGGTTTGCTACCCCTGCTGTAGAATGGACGGTGTGACTTCATTGGCTCTTTCTGGGTTAATAAATCACAATGTATTGAAACAAGAGATAGTCAGAAGGTCAATAATAGCAACCTTTTTTATTATTTATTTATTATTATTATTTTTTCTATCATACAGGATTTATGTAGCACCAACAGTTTGCACAGCACTTTACAACATATGGAGAGACAGTACAATTACAATGCAATGCCATACAAAAGGATTAGAAGGACCCTGCTCATGAGAGCTTACAATCTACAAGGAGGGGAAGCCTTCTTATTTCTTATTGTATAGAAGACTCCACAGCCGCCGTTCTCATATCTACCTATGTATCCAATGCAATCAGCATGCTAGCTAAAGAATGCTGAGATAACATCATTTGTGGTATAAGCCACCTTATCTTCGATGGGCCCTTATAGGTCTGTGCTAACCCACAGACCCGTAATGAGATAAGAAGGATGGTAGGCACACTCAATACAACAATAGGAACAACAGTGTGCATAAAGAATAGTCATGACTTCCTGAACCTTAAATTTGATGACAAACTACGCAGTGAAACAAGAATTTTGTATCATTAACACATTTTATTTACTCATTCACACGTATTTAGCATTGGCACTTATTCTGCAGAGATTTACAGAGAACATTGGACCGTTCCCACCCATCACCACCATCACATTGTAGTGGTTCTAATTTTAAGTAAAAGAATTTAATGGGAAATCCAGTGAAATGTATAAACATCCTCTGAAGCAGTTACAATGACTTTTAGTCCCTAGACACAAACAAGCAGTTAACCTTGGCGGTGCAGTGGTAGCCCGACTGCAAGGATTAATAAAATGTTGACCGGAGTTCTTCTTTTAGGTGAACCTGTGATGTGTATATGTCAGAAAAAAGTTAACTGTCAGCCCCTCAGGTTTCTAATACTTACCTTCCCATGTTTACCTGACCACCCATTCACCCAGGGGAGTGAGGAGACAAAGCCCTGTGTATGTACCAAATCAGGAAGTCACATGCTTCCCATACTAGTAAGTACCAGATACTTCTCTTGGCTCCAGATGAGAACAGATTGGCAGGGAGCAAAGAGAAGATGAGTGTAGGCAGCAGTGTGCTAACAAGGAGCACACTGATAGGAGGAGGAGAGAGAGCGTGGAAGAGAGATGATCAGTCTGCTGCCTCTTCTTCACTGACCAGTCACAGTTGGGGGGAGGGACAAGACCTGTAATTGTTACTTAACTGCAGGAGAGGAAAATCAAGTCTCCCCGCCCTTCCAGACAGAGATGTGCTGTGTGACAGAGATGTGTAAATTTCATTAGTGGGTGGGCAGAAATATAAATCCTTTGGCAAGTAAAACAGCTCCCAGCTTTTACATGAATGGCTGCATTGTGCAATCTTTGGTACAAGTGGCGTAACAATAGCCATAGCAGCCCATGCGGCTGCTATGGGGACTAGGGGAGGAAGGGGGCCCCAATAGGGATTGCAGAAGTTGCAGCTGACACTGACATTATTAAATCAAGAAGAGTTGACATCAGATGTACAGGGGGTGACTATACAGGCAGCTCTTCTTCTACCTGACTTTATTATCATTAACAGTAGGGAGGTTGCTGGGGGACCCCATCAGAATTTTTACATGGTGCCCCATGATTTGTGGTTACGCACCGTTAACAATAAGAATGGGAAAAGGTTAACCCCTTCAGTCCAAATGCCCCCCAACTTCCCAACAAAACCCCATAGATTAACCCATTGCTTGGATCAGTAGAGTGCCATCTAATGGCCACCTTTACACGCTGCTTTACACATTAATGTACTTGCACCTCTCTCTCAGTATTCATTATGAGGCAACATTTTATTGCCCAATGACTGAATAGCGAGACAATGAACCTTCCTGCCGCTGCCCAATGCTGCCGCATTAAACAAACAGTTTTATTGGATTTTACTATCTGATCTTTCTTTTCCTACCCTGAATGGCTGCTTGTAAAAGCCAGGAGTGGTGTCCCTGCCACCAATACGATTTCCCAATAAAATTGCTGGCGGTAAATTATTAATCTGACCACGGATGACATTGAGGGGCTTGCACATGGAACACGGCATGCACCGCTAACAGATTAGAAAGGGTTGGGGTCATGTATACCGCTGTGTGTGTTTGTCTCAGTGTGCATTCAGGTGCATTTAGTTTGCATCTGAGATCAGTTTGAGACTGTTTAGGGCAGGGGTAGGCAACCTCGGCACTCCAGCTGTGGTGAAACTCAAAGTCCCAGGAGGCATTGTAAGACTCAGAGTTACGACCTCCGGAAGCAGAGACATGATAGGATTTGTAGTATCGCCACAGCTGGAGTGGCGCGGTTGCCTACCCCTGGTTTAGGGAGTCCAGGTTCTGACATCAGTCAAGTAAAGACACAATAGAGCCAGGAAGCAGACCACTTACAGCAGGGATGGCCAAACTGCGGCCCTCCAGCTGTGGTGGAACTACGAATCCCATGAGGCTTTGCAAGATTCTCACCGCCACAGACATGACTCCCGAAGAGAGATGCTTCATGGGATTTGTAGTTTTACCACAGCTGGAGGGCCGGAGTTTGGCCATCCCTGACTTACAGGAATGTCTATGAAAAGGGTCACACCAGATAAGCTTTTATTGAATGCAGGAGTGGTGGGTCAGCTAATCAGAAGACCATCAAACCTCCCCTTGTGATTGTATGGATTTGATAACTTTCTATATATCAAGATAAAGTCTTAACATCATTGGTTAATAGCAACTAGTTACATCATATCTATCCAATCATTAAGTCACATTACATAGTAGTCATCAGTTTTCAGTGATAAGACTGGCACGGTGTTGGTCCATCTGGCGGCTCCTCAAGTTCGGGGGGGGGGGGGGGGGGGATATACAGTGTCT